GGTGTGGATATCATTATAGGTCTTGTCTTCATCCATACCCACACCCTGTGATAGACATGCACTTAACATAAGACAAGTTAACTCCCATATAGCCATACATAGTGATTTTTCTTTGTGCAATATTTGTCATTGATAATAAAGTCCATTCCTTAACTTTAGCTGAATAACGTGCATTAATTAAAGCACGAAAAAAAAAACTAATGTGTGCAAGTAATAATGATAAAGGACGTAATAAAAGTAAAGCTTCATATGGTAATGTTGATGATTGTTTTGTACGTGCATATAATTCTTCAACAAGTTCAATAAGAATATTATCTGATGATGATATTATTGATGAACTAGCAATTATTGTTTGTTCTTTATTAACATGTTCATTATTTAATGAATTTGTATTTTTATTTGGTCGTTGTAATAATGTATAAATACGTGAAAGTATTAACACCATATATCATTTTTGGGATATTGACCAACTATTACAAGTTTTTCAAGACTAATTGATATAATTTTTTGTATTAAATTATCATCTTTAATTAATGATAATCAAATATCATATGAATTTAAATCAGCTTCACGAATAAACATAATGTATATGCATGAGTTTTAGTTATTAATTTATAATTACGTTCAATTAAATTTATATATAATTCATTATATTCTTTAGTTCTTTGTTCAAGTAATATACTAGATTTACATAAATTATAACTTATTAAGGATATTATTAAATCATCTTCATCAAACCATGTACAAATAAATCAGATAGATATATAAATGAACCTATTAATTCATATTACATATATTTCAATTAGAATTTGTAATGATAATGTTAAATCAAAACCATGATGAAAAAATAAGCGATCAAATAAACTCTAAATTGTATATTTTTCAAGATGGATGCCAGCAAAGAACATGTTCATACTCTAATTTTCTGATTGATAGAATATATTTGAAATTATTGATATAAGCTTTTATTTCTATAAAATAAGATAGTTTGCATGTATTATATATCAAATCAAAGTCAGAGAAACACTAGATTTTCTATTTGATGGAATTAATAATTTAGCAATGAATTTATCTTTCTTTTAACTTAGAGTTCTATTTGTCGATTATTAAAACATATGTGAGACTTACATTAACTGACAATGGTAATGTATTATTACTTTGGATTGATGTTAATATAGTATCATATGAAAGTTGTCCATAGGATAATAAATCACGTGTACCTAACCGTTCAATATTTGTAAATAAATTATTTGAACTTGTATCTAATGTTGAACGTGTTTGCATATATTGACCATCGATAAAAAAAGAACAGATAAAATCTAGTTTATTTTTCAATCTTGTTACCATTGTGTTGCATTTGTTTCTAAAGTTTCTTCTTTTTTTTTTTTAATTATTTGTTGTTTGTTTATTTTCATCATTAGACTGATTTGTGGTGAATTAATTGAAGCCTATCTTTCTTGAAATTGTATTCTTAATAATCAACCAACTCCAAAATTGTCTTTATATAAATATTGGTAAACAAAATAATAATATAACTATACAATATAAATCATGTCAATAAATATATGATATATATATATATATTTAATTTTTTTTTGTTAAATAATAAAGATGATCTTTTATCTGGTTCAATTAAATTTAAATATGATTATAATATATTTGATATAGTTAAACCATGTCGTTGATAAAGATATTCAAATATTCATAATAGTGTTTTCGATAATGTACAACATGATATTATTTGATCTGTTTCACAACTAAGAAATGATGTTTTTTTTTTGAAATATATTTATATAAATTATTTCTGATATAAATATTATAAAAGGTAATAAATCATGTATATCACCTGTTGAAAATTGACATGTTAATTCAACATGATTTTGTATTTTATCAAAATACATTGATATAGAATCTATGAATGCAATTGAATATGGTTGATTATTAGAAGCATGATAAAAGACTTTTTTCATAAATTGTATTAGGTGTTGTTTCAATATCATTTTAATTTGTTTCATTTGATATAACTATACAAAATCCTAGGAAAACAAACAAAGAACAGATTTATCTTGTTTCTTATTTTCTCAAATCAATTTTCATTTACTATAAGAATTATCCTAAAAATTTAATGCTGTGGAAAAAATCCAATACGTTTTCGGAGTTCACGAGTTCAAACTTACAGAAAGTTTATCGAAATTCTCGAATGCAATTTATTTCGAAATATAATATTAGAAAGACGTCGTTTTCTTTAATTGTAATGGTACAAATAGCACGACTGAGAATTTGATCAATAAGATTCGAGAGGAATTATTCGGTCATTGTACTAATATAGCTTAAATGCTTTCCTTTACGATTTGTATTACCTGAAATTCTGCATATTTTCTATTTCAAAATATTTTTCGAAATTTTGAATTATTCAAAAGTCTCATCTATTACTAGCACATAAACAATGTCAAAGTAAAAACAAAAACATTTCTTTTAATTGGATTAAAATTTTTATTATACATATATATTTATTTAGATAAATTAAACTAAAATATACCGGTGACATCATAAATGATAATCATTTTTTATAAGTTAGGTTTTTAAGTATTTGTTCATAAATTTTTCTTGTTATATCCATAGGATAATTAAGATTATTAAAATCTTCTTTAATAATATCGATTGATATTGTTATTGATAATATTTGTAAAATTTATGGTATATATTTAGGTAATAATTGTTTATTTAATGGTAATGGAAGAAATTGTTCAATTAATAAAACTAAGATAAGACCACTTTCATATAAATGTATTCCTTCAGAAACGAATAAATGACTTCCAACTGATGTATGATGTATAAGATCAAATAAAAAATAATAATAATAATTGATAATGTGTTGTTATTGATGTAAAAAGCTCAACATATAATTTATGATGATATATTAAATCACAATAAGATTGTAATTGACCACTTATTAGACAAATGTATTCTTGATGATGATGGTGTTAATATTGGTGACCACCATGCTTCTTGTGTATAATCAAATATATTCAGAATATGTGTCCATTGTAATAATAATGAGATATAAAATAATGATCATAATAATTTAAAACATTCATTTAAGATAGTTAAAAATGAAAATGTCTCAAGAGAATGTACAGTTTCATCATGAATTCATAATTGATGAAAATCATTTACAATTGTTCGAAATTTGTTTAGCCTAAATAAAATCATAGATCTTATATTAGCATAGGAATTTTAAAGTCAAATGTTTTTCGCTAGCTCATTAGTAATTAATGAATTGCAGGAAAGTTTTATCTTCAAATTAATGGGTGATATGTACATAAAGATAATCGGATGCAAGAGAAACTAATGTCATATTGATTTGACCACATAATTGTCAAGTATTAGTTAAAATTCGTAATATTACGTCATGTAAAACATGAAGAAGAGTTCTGAAAACAAAAACGAGAATAATAGTTTTTAAATTATAAAATCATTTCGAATACTTACGCACTAAAAGTTTCATCTCGTGTTCCATTAACTGATAATAAAACATCATTCTATCGTGTTAATATAGCATCTTCAGTTAAATTTTGTACAAGATATCGAAGTATTATATTTATATTGATTAATTATCGACTTGTAGATTGACAGTTGACATTCTAAAAAAAAATTTAAACTATAGGAAAATTTTATAAATAAAAACAACGAACATTTCTATTTACTAATGCTCGAAAAGCAACATCAAATAGTGTTAATTGTGTGGATTAAATATCCAAAAGTGATTGATTCTATTTGAACAAAAAAATAACCTGAGATTGTAAATGAGCAAGAAGTAAATCGACAATTTGTCGTGAAAGACGGTTCCATTTATCATCTTCAATTTGAACACTATTGACAATAACTGTTAACAGTCGTAAAGCCTATAACAATATAAATTCTATTATTATTTTTTCAGTACATACACATGACATGAAAAAATACTTTTATTTATAATAATTAAGACGCCTAGTTTTCCTTCAAACTCAAATATATAACAACAAGATGATTATTTTCAGATCATCGATTTGTTGAAGTGTGAGTGTGGGTTCAATCGAGGAGAAAAATTACATCCACACACTCACACTCTTATTTAATAAAACTTTTTAGGAATTTTAATTATTCGCATAACTCGAACAAGAAAAAAATCATATAAAACTGGTTCTAATGCTGCCAAAGTTAAATAAAGAATTTTAACGATAATTTCTTTTTCTCGAAAATGTTTTTTTTTTGCTTCCTACCATGTGTTTCAGGTTCATGTCCACTTGCGAATAATGAATCATAATGTTTTATTAAATCTTGTATTTTAATAACTTGTTTTGAATGAAGTGTATCATGTGATAACATAACAAGAAATTCAGCAATACAATAAATAAAATGCTATTTAAAAATAAATGAAACGATTAGAAATGCAACGAATTTCATCAGCTTCTAATCAACTATAATTAACACGAATTAAAAGTAATTGAACAAGTAAATCGAGTACAGCAGCTTGAAAATCACTTTCATTTGTATTAATATATTTTCTAAGACTAATTTTTTAGTTCAATTAAAACTAAAATAGAAAACAAAAAACAGACAGAATAAATCAAATTCGTTTTGTTTGTTTATTTTACTCTCGTATTGCACTATTTTCTATGGATTGATCACTATTTATGCTTGATGCATAACGTGAACCAAATAAAATAAATTATCGATTGTCGAATACTTATTGTATGAATATAAGTTAAAGAATTATTTAATGATACTTGTGAAGAAACATTTGAAGATTTAATAAAAACTAAATTAAAAGAATATTTTTAAATGAATGTTGTGTTAACAGAAAAAATGATTTTCAAATTTCGAATTGATAGTGTGTCTTGCAGATCCCTCACGTAAACTAGATGATTTAATATTCGAATTTCGAGATAGAACCGAATCAAAAGATCTGACACTTTCACAACAAAACTACTCTCGTTAAGATCATCGATATTCGTAAAATCAGTTTTTATATTGAAATTTTCCTTACCTAGGAAAGACCCTTTCAGAAACCTTAATTATAAGATTTCCATCTAAAGTTTTATCCATAGACAAGTTTCAGACACAATACAATATCCTAAAGGTTTTAGCTTAAACAATAAATAAAGAAGATTAATAATTGAAATTTTCTTTACAATAAATATTTACTATTTAAAAGAAGTTACCTTTTGCGTACATTGAATGTTGATTTAAAATAATTAAGTGTTTCTCTTCCAAATTTTTTTGATAAATCTTGTGTAGAAATAAGACTTAAAACTGATTTCATAGACAATAATGATCATTTCTGATGAGTTTAATAAACTTTTATGTATTTGATAAGATGAACGTATTAATTCGGATAATTTCCAAAAGTACCTAATTGTGTATGATTAACTTTTTTAACTTTGTGTGTATTTGATGTTGTTGATGAATCTTTTTCATTCTATTTAAAAAGAAAAAACAAATGAATTCCTTTAGATAAGACATGATCAAATATATTCTTCAAATCTAACACTTTGGAACTCTCTTCTTCTGTGAAAACTGAAATATCAACTATATTCTGTTCAAAAGAATGATGATTGTGCATATTTTTGCAATAATTCGAGAATGGTAATAGAATAGTTCATTTGTTGAGATTTGATAAATCTTCAAATAAAAAGAAAGAATTCAAAAAAAAAACATAATAAATATCTTTTTTTCTCTTTACTTGAAAAGATTAAATTATTAAGATCATGTAATATAAAGGGATGTTTAAAAAAAAATTATAAATAAACGAAGTTCATCATATTGATTATGAAAAAATTGGTCGAATTGTTGTTGGTCTTAAAACATTTGAAAGAACATAAATATCTTCCAAACATCCAACCTATATAAAAGACAAAAATGACAAACAATTTGTATTCGAGTTGATGCTTGAGCTTGTAATGAATGGTGAATTTTATATATCCATTGACAAGGTAAAAATGAATTGTGATCAGCAAACCTTAAAATCGAAAAAGTAGCTAATAACTAACTTAATGTAATAAAATCGACTTATCCAAATTCGAAAAAAGCTACGTAGTTATTATCTCTACAAAATACATACTTAACAAAAGTCGAAGCAATTGCTTGACGAACACGTATATCAGGGTACTGTTGTTTTAATTGTTGTTCAAGATAAGTTAATATTCGAAAATCAATATCATCCATAAGTTGAGCTAGAGCAAACTATTTTATATACATACAAAAAAAAATTATTATAATCATAAATTTCTTTTATCTACTTCAGCAAGAATACAGGAACTTGTAGTATGTTGAATAGAATCTTCTAATAATTTAATTCCTATGATTGTAAATGCATGACTATTAATTAATAAAAAAAAGGTAATAATATTCGTAAAGCATTTAGTGAAACATGTATAACACGTGCATTATTATCATTAAGACATATAACCTTGAACTGTCTTGTGAATCAGTTGATACAAGTGAACATTGTTTAATAAAAGATGAATTGTTGTTTGAATTAATGTAGCAAGTAAACTTGCACATGCACCACGTAAATGTAGATCACCATGTTCACATAAAGATAAAAGATATGTAATATCTTAAAGAAAGGAAAAAAAAAGATACCTTGATGTTCCATAAATTTTAATGTATTTCAAGTCATATAGAGATGAGAATTTCATTTTTCTCATTAGGAAATTTCATATCAGTTACAAAATTTTTATTTAATCAGAAATCTTCAAAGACTAATGAAAAACTTCTTAGAGGATACAATTGATTTCATATCTCGAACTTCGGCTTAGAACTATTTTTTGAAGTAATTGTGTGATTGTATAATTTCAATCTCTGATGTATAAATGCAGGCTTTGAGCTTTAATAAAGTGTTCTACTTGATATCGTTTCGAGTCTGATAAGGTTCTAGTCTTTTGTTGATTTCAAAAAAATTAAAAGTAGGAATAGAACTAGAGCTGCTGAATCAATATTCAGAAATCTCCGTTCTTGAATTTTCAGATTCCAATATATATATATGTTTCAACAATTTAATAGTGAAATTGTCATATCTATCAGATAACTTTCACTAAAACTTTGAGACTTTAACCAATTGAAGCCACGTCAACTAAACTCTGCCATAATCCCCTTCACCTAAGCCCTCCTACTGTTACGATATTAGAAATAATTTTGGATTATAAAAAAAAGTCAAACAAGAATTAAACATACTTTTAGTAAGATAAACAAATGGATCAAATTGTTTATAAATACGATAGACATATTGGTATAGCACTTTTAACACTAATACATGATTCATCATCACTTTTTATCGTACCATCCATATTATGTATATATCTAATCGGAAAAAAATATAATTGATTAACAAGTTTAGCAGCTTATTGTTCGTTTTTCATTATTAATCATTGATGTTGAATCGAATTTATCATTCATTTCAATAAATCAACGTTGACATGTTGAATAAGCTATTGTTTTAGAAAAAAAACAAATGAAAAAAAATTCTTGTTTTTTTTCCTCATTATTTACTTGTTTTTAAGGCTTCACTAACACAAGTTTTTTCTATAGATCCAATTTGAATTGAAATTAATAATTGATCAAAATCAAATAAATTTGAATATTTAAGTATAATTTCATGTGTTTACAATGAACTTGATACAACATTATGATCATTATGTTGTAAACAAATATAACATACCATATCAACACACTAAAAAAAGATTTACATTGAAATTAAAATCATTCATTATTTGTTGAATACTGATTGAAAAATGTTGTTGATTTGTATCAATATTTTTACTTCTATTCATTGATTGTTGATTATTGCTTGATTATGATTGAAATTCTTAGATATTTAAACCAAATAATTGAGGGTCGGGATGTGTAGGGATAAGCAATACAAACACTCACACCCACTTCTCAAAATGCCTGAGTCTTCTTAAAGCACATTCGCCATACTTTCTTCGGATGCATCTAACGAAGTTTGAGTGATAAATAGAGTTTTTCATACATCGAACGATAAAATAAAAAATATAAAATTTTTCATTGATTTATTTTGAAGCTTTCAACACTACTTCTATAATTATCAATTTCAAAAAAAATTTTACGATAGAAAATATTTATATAGAGATTAGAATAAAGTTCAAAGTCTAATGAATCATCATAACTCAAATTTACGCTTATACAAGTATCAGTGTATATTTTATCATTGCAACACCACGAAACGCAAAGGTAAGGTAAAAAAGGAAGAAGTAGAATATATGAAAAACGAAACGTATTTTATGACGAACACATGGTCGAAAAAGTCGTTTACATGATGAAAAAGTCATGCTTCATTGATTCATGTAAATATACGTTTGTGGGAAAAAACCAAGTAATTTTGTCAATGATAAATACAGAATAAAATCGATTGCAAGCACACAAAACAAAATTTGCTACACTCCAATATTACATAGCACGTAAGTATATTTAGTTTCTAACATTATTAGACTAGTAAGAAAATTAAAGTTAAAAGTAAAGAGTAGCTACACACAAAAAAAATGACGGTACATAAACATGTGTTATTTTTATGTTTATAAAGTAGTTTTAAGAGAACTTCGCTTGATGATACATGCAATCAATTGTCTTGGTTGCAGAATCTTGTATGTATAAAACAATCTTATTGTAAAACATATTAAACAGAGTAATTGTTTCTATGCATAAATTTCAACGCGAGTACCAGTAATGAAAGGCACAATTTTTACTTTTAGAAATATTCTTTTTCTGGTCTACCGACTAATCTGGCCTGATTAGATAGAGAAACGGGTTAGACATGTCGAAGTTTGAAGACATTCTGGACTATTTCAGGCGTAGCTGCAGGAGTTTTCATGTCAGGATAACTAGTTAAGACAGGTA